TCTCAAAGATGTACGTGAGGTCTCTGGGTTATGATTTATTTACATGCAGTGGTCCTTCCATTTTTGCAGCACTTAGGGGCATTGGGTGTGTGCAAAAATGGGGAAAAGCTATTAGAATCATAGAACCTTAGAGTTGGAAGAGACCTCGTGGGCCATCCAGTCCAACCTCATTCTGCCAAGAAGCAGGAAAATCGCATTCAAAGCACCCCTGACAGGTGGCCAAGGCCATCCAGCTCTGTTTCAAAGCCTCCAAAGAAGGATTCTCCACCACACTTCGGGGCAGAGAGGTCCACTGCTGAACAGCTCTCACAGTCGGGAAGTTCTTCCTAATGTTCAAGTGGAATCTCCTTTCTTGTAGTTTGAAGCCATAGTTCTGCGTCCTAGTCTCCAGGGCAGCAGAAAACAAGTTTGCTCTCTCCTCCCTATGACTTGTTCTCACATATTTATACATGGCACTCATCATGTCTCCTCTCAGCCTTCTCTTCTTCAGGCTAAACATGCCCAGCTCTTTAAGGCACTCCTCATAGGGCTTTTTCTCTAGACCCATCATCATTTTAGTTGCCTTCCTCTGGACACATTCCAGCTTGTCAACATCTCCCTTCCATTGTGGTGCCCAGAATTGGACACAATATTCCAGGTGTGGTCTAACCAAGGCAGAATACAGGAGTCGCATGACTTCCCTGGATCTAGACACTATACTCCTATTGATGCAGGCCAAAATCCCATTGGCTTTTTTTGCCGCTGCATCACATTGTTGGCTCATGTTTAACTTGTTGTCCACTCTCCACCATAGGGGAAGGTAAAGGCATATCTCCTCCAAAGAAATCTCATGGAGAAAACTCATTTACCGCCACCATACAGTTGACTTGAAGCCACAAATATAAGTCCCCTTGTTCCTAAGGCATTTGACCTCCAGATCTCAAACTCCATTGGGGCCTTCATACTCTTCTTTTAGTTGAGCGCTGTCAAATGAAAGGCTTGGCATGAAGAGCCTTTGGTCTGTCCACAAAGTCCTTCTTTTTATTCTCACGCAGTCAAAAGAATGCTCCAGGCAGCTCTTGTTACTACATAGCAACAGAGCACTACAATATTTTTCAGCATCCTTGCCTCGGCAGTGACAGATTCTTTTTTGCAAAAGGGCTTGAACTGATATGACAGGTGTCAGTCAAATGAGACTGACTCATTCTTTGTTCCTCTATCAGGAAAGTAAACACTCATCTACCATGAGCAGAGGGACACATTGCTAAGAGCATCAGTGTTGTCTTCATAGAAGCCTGAAACAACAGAGCTCGATAAGAAAAGGTTAGATGGAATGAAACCTATAGTAAGCTCTCTGACCAGTTGTATTACTTAAAGTAAAGGTAAAGGTAAAGGTAAAGGTTTTCCCCTGACATTAAGATCACTTGTGTCTGACTCTGGGGATTAGTGCTCATCTCCATTTCTAAGCCGAAGAGCCAGTGTTGTCCGTAGACACCTCCAAGGTCATGTGGCCAGCATGACTGCATGGAGCGCTGTTACTTTCCCACCAGAGCGGTACCTATTGATCTACTCTACTGGGACTGTGGGGCAGCTGGCTGGGAGTCTGACTGAAGGGTCATGAGTTCAAAGCCAGCCCGGATCAGAGTACTGACTGAAGGGTCATGAGTTCAAAGTCAGCCCGGGTCGGAGTGAGCTTCTAACCAATTTGTGTAGCTTGTTGTTGACCTTTGCAGCCCAAAAGACAGTTACATCTATCAAGTAGGAAATTAAGATACCACTTATGCGGAGAGGCTAATTTAATGAATTTACGAGGCCATAAAAATCTCCAGCAAGCATGCAAAGAATGAGGAAATACTTCATCAGTGTAAAAAATGAACGGTGAAGTGACAGCTCCCCTGGTGGCCAGAATACCCTCATGAAAAAGCTGGATTGTTAAATAGCCTCTGAGTGTCTGTCTAAATATGTTGTGTGTTTATGGCATTGAATGTTTGCCATGTATATGTACATTGTAATCCGCCCTGAGTCCCCTGCGGGGTGAGAAGGGCAGAATATAAATATTGTAAATATATAAATATATAAATAAATAAAATACTCACATTTGCATGTTTTCAAACTTCTAGGTTGGCAGAAGCTGGGGCAAACAGCAGGAGCTCATGCTGCTTCCTGGATTCAAACCTGCAACCTTTCAGTTAGCAAGTTTAGCAGCTCAGCGGTTTAACCCACTGTGCCATTGGGGGCTCCTTAGTGTATTAATTAGTGGAGTATTTTTCCTGGAAATTTTGCAATTGATATATCTGGCTGTTGGGGATGGAAGCAGAAATCTTTCTGTGATCCACAATACTGATGAAGAGCATTAGAAAGGGGGTGCAGGATCTGAAAAGCCCTCTGCCCATTCATGGTCTCCTTTGCACCCACAATGCAAAGTGTGCACAAGCCCAGTGGGGAACATGCACCACTGTGCATTTGGAAGTCATCTCCAGTGGACTCTTTGTGTCCATTTGGATATGGTTCCAGGATTCCCAAATTCTTGGATGCTCAAGTCTCATTATAAACAATTATTTAGTAATTATATATAGTATTAGAATAATAAAACAAAATTGTTCAAACACTACTCACAGGTTCTATTTACTCTTCTCCAGCAATGCAACCGGTTTGTTTATCCCAATTTAACCTCCAGACGAAAAAGGGCCCACATTCTTTTCCTTCCTGTTTCTAATCTAGTAAAACAGAATGAGATGGTTTTAATTGCACCTGGAAAGACACCTCCCCATAATAAAGATTAGGCAGGTCCATAGAATATGATTGGTGGCCACAAACTGGAGAGGAGGTGTGTTGTTTAACCAGCCAAGGCTTGAAAACTTGTTTTTAAAAGATCCTGAAAAGCAAACTTTGGTTTTGCCTTAAAGGACAACAGCATGGCAACCTTTCTTGGAGAGGTCTCCTTTCTTATTTATTTACTTACTTAGGCAACCCCTCATTGTTCGAATAGGATTGTCCTCCAAGATCAGTGTACTGGCGGTTGGTCCGTAGGTGACTATGAAGCCCTATTCTTGAACTGCATCTTCTCCTGCAGTGAGGGCATTGGTTTCCAGGTGGAAGGCGGTCCCGGTCAGCGTTGGCTTGACACACCTTCCTCTTGGCCATGGTGGCCACGATGGTCCATGCTCTTGTTACATCCCAATTGGATTACTGCAACGCACTCTACGTGGGGTTGCCTTTGAAGACTGCTCGGAAACTCCCACTAGTCCAGCGGGAGGCAGCAAGATTGCTCACCGGAGCGGCATACAGGGAGCATACCACCCCCCTGTTGTGTCAACTGCACTGGCTGCCGATCCAATTCTGAGCACAATTCAAAGTGCTGGTTTGGACCTACAAAACCCTATACGGTTCCGGCCCAGTGTATCTGTCCGAACGGATCTCCCTCTACATCCCACCTCGGAGTTTAAGATCTTCTATGGAGGCCCTGCTCTCGACCCCGCCTCTATCACAAGTGAGGCTGGCGGGGACGAGGAGTAGGGCCTTCTCGGTGGTGGCCCCTCACCTGTGGAACTCACTCCCCGGGGAGATTAGATCAGCGACTACCCTTTTTTCATTCAGAAAAAAATTGAAGACTTGGATGTGGGACCAGGCATTTGGGCATTCTGGCAGCTAAAGGAAAGACCTTGATGATGGGCAGGAATTGACGGAACGGAATGGATTTATGGAACTCTGAACACTGAGCATGTGATTGTTTACTATTGTGTTATGTACTGATGATTTTAACCTGTTAACTGTTTAATTGCTTTTATGTATGTATGTATATTTGACATAGGCATCAAATTGTGCCTTTTTTGTAAGCCACTCTGAGTCCCCCCTCGGGGGTGAGAAGGGCGGGGTAGAAGTAACTGAAATAAATAAATAAATAAATAAATGGCACATTTCTCTCTTTTGACCTCCATTCGTGCACCTTCAAATTCTACAGCACTGCTGGTCACAGCTGACTTCTAGCTGGAGCGCTCAAGGGCCAGGGCTTCCCAGTTTTCAGTGTCTATGCCAGAGTTTTTAAGGTTGGCTTTGAGTCCATCTTTAAATCTCTTTTCCTGCCCACCAACATCCCATTTTCTATTCTTGAGTTTGGAATAGAGCAATTGCTTTGGGAGACGGTGATCGGGCATTCGGACAAGGTGGCCAGTCCAATGGAGTTGATGGCAGAGGACCATCACTTCAATGCTGGTGGTCTTTGCTCTATCCAGCATGCTGACATTTCCCTGCTTGTATTCCCAAGAGATTTGCAGGATTTTTCGAAGGCAACGCTAATGGAATCGTTCTAGGAGTTGCATGTGACGTCCTCATACATACCTACATACCTCCAGCTTGCTTTGCTCATGGGCACCTTTTGACTTTTGCTCCAACATGTGGAAGAACAGTTGATGCGTAGTCTGCACAACAATTGTATGCACAGTCATTTTGGTGTCAGTCCTTTTGATGGTGTCACTCCCTTTGATGGTGATGTCTCCAACCGTCGGCACCATCCCTAACAATGTCACTGACTGCTTGTTGAAGCAGGTAATGCCAAGCTTGGTGTGCATACATTTGAATGTTTCAGCAGCTTCTTATGCTTTATTCCTACTTCTTCTTACATGCTGTCTTACATTGCGCAGCTATGTACCTCTGTTTTGGACACACCAAGCAGCCCTGCTCCAGTGAAATAAAAGAAAGGTATTACAGTTATGTCAGAATACATTTGTGATGTCACGAAGCTCTCCAAACAAACAGCAGATCTCTTCTCTCTCTCTCTCCCCGCATCATCCTAGCTGACCTGCAGCTCTTCATTCAGATGTGACTTCAAACGTAATCATTGAAGAATCTGGTCATACTGGACGGACGACCGACTCAGACGGCTATCATAAAAGGAAATGAAAAGACCTACTGGACACAAAACTGAGTGTCCCTCCACTGGCAAAGTTGTAAAAGATCAACGAACCAGCTTGGCTGCTGTGTTCGCCTGGGGATTTTGCCTCCATGCAGTTCACATGAGAACTGCCTAAACTTCTCTGGGGAAGGAGGGAGAATTCGCTGCCCAGCTGCCTTTGGGGAAGAAATACTTCATGTTTTGAAGAATCCTCGGAGTAGAGCACTGGCGGATTGCTGAATATTTTTGTGGTTTCCCTGCCATTCCTGTTTCAAGGGACTGGCCCTCGCTTTGTGAGTACTTGAAGGTGGATCGGAACCTCGCCTCCCTCTCTTAACTATCTGTATCTGCCACATGTTGCTGTGCTCAACCTTCCCTCCCTCTTTCTCTCCTTTCTTTCTCTTCTTCCTTCCCTCCCTCTTCCTTCCTTCCCTTTTTCCTTTCCTTCTCTCCTTCCTTCCTTCCTTCTCTACCTCTTTCCTTCCTTCCCCTCCAATATTCTTTCTCTCCTTTCTTCCTTCTCTACCTATTCTTGGACTGCAACTCCCAGCTGTCCTCCTGATTGATCTATCTACCTGCTATCTATCTCTATCTAATGTATATATCTTATCTATCTGGAGGATTGGTGGGAGTTGCAGTCCAGGAATGGAAAATGGGAAATATGAGCAGATTGGGATGCTCTCAAAGAAATCCAAGGAGAAGCAAGCTTGCAGCTTGGAAAGATTGCATTTGGAGCATCCTCCTCCCCTAAAGGGCCTGTTCTAGGGGATGCTGGGAGCTGTCGTTTTCACGCATGCACTGTATCATCATTTAGTGTTTTTTGGGGTTTTAAGTCCTTTCTGCTGTTTTCTGGGAGGGGTTTATGAGTGATGGTCACTCGTTGGTCTGTTAGGGGTATAGTGTCCAAATTTCATGTCGATTCGTCCAGTAGTTTTTGAGTTATGTTAGTCCCACAAATGAACATTACATTTTTATTTATATAGACTCCATCCCCTGCCACACATTGCTGTGGCCCAGTCTGTGTATATGTGTTTTGTGTGTATATATATGTGTATATATAGAATCATAGAATCATAGAGTTGGAAGAGACCTCATTGGCCATCCAGTCCAACCCCATTCTGCCAAGAAGCAGGAATATTGCATTCAAATCACCCCTGACAGATGGCCATCCAGCCTCTGTTTAAAAGCTTCCAAAGGAGGAGCCTCCACCACACTCCGGGGCAGAGAGTTCCACTGCTGAACGGTTCTCACAGTCAGGAAGTTCTTCCTCATGTTCAGATGGAATCTCCTTTCTTGTGGTTTGAAGCCATTGTTCTGCGTCCTAGTCTCCAGGGAGTCTTGTGGTCTTGTGCATGCATTGTAATGTGTATGTATGTATATAGATATAGATATAGATATAGATAGACTTTTTAAGATCCTTCTGCTGTGTTTTTCAGTGTTTTTATGAGTAACAGTCACTTGTTGGCCTGATAGGTGCATTGTGTCCAAATTTGGTGTAAATTCGCCCAGTGTTTTTTGAGATATGTTAATCCCACAAACGAACATTACATTTTTATTTATATAGATTTTGTATGAAGTCACTTAAGGTAACCAGAAAACCACAAGGATGGAGATGAGGACAGAAAGAAACTTGCAAAACCCTGGGAAAGAGATGTAATCCTGAAGAAATGGCTGACTAGCCTAATGGGTGTCTACTGTGACCTGAGATGGTTGTTGTTTCGCGTTACAAATACTTTTTTCTTAAGTGAGGAAGTGAGAGGTAAATGGCTTGAGAGAGAAAGATAAGTGGGGTGCAATGGGTTAAATTGTTGTACCAGCAGGACTGCTGACTTAAAGTTCGGCGGTTCAAATCCAAGGAGCGTGGTGAGCTCCCTTCTGTCAGCCCCAGCTTCGCATGAGGGGACATGAGAGAATCTTCCCACAGGATGGTAAAACATCAAATATCTGGGCACCCCTGGGCAACATCCTTGCAGAAGGCCAAATCTCTCACACCAGAAGTGACTTTCAGTTTCTCAAGTCACTCCTGATATGGGAAAAAAGAGGAGAGATAAGAAAAGACAGTGAAAAAGGAAAATCAGAAAATCAGAAAGACAAATGCAAGATGGATAGATCTCCTTAAAAATTAAAAAAAGTCTTTATCTGGCAATTGCCATGAAAGAAGAAAGCCATGAGTTACAACTTGCCATTCAATCAATGCTGGAATCATTCAGTTTTTCCCAAGTTGGTGCCCATGAGATATGTGGAACCATAATTCCAAGCATTCAGCCAATTGCTATCCTGGATGAGCAGATGGGAGTTGTAGTCCAACACATCTAAAGGTTGCCACATTGAAAAGGCTGGCTTATGTGATGATGCTTCATAGTTACACTTCATCCTTGGTGTGTTTGTGTGTGTCAGACACAGGTTTTGGAGATTATTTTTGGATCAACCCAAAAACAGCTGGTATACAAAAATGTCAAAGCAAATGCCCCTGTGTAAATGAAGAATGGGTTAAGCTTTGAGCCATGGCAGTATGGAACAGAATGTGGATTCAGATCACCTGTCATGCCTTCTGACAAATGCATCAGAGGCCATGTCTGTGTGTATGTGCCTCTCTTCCCTGTAATGTATTGGGAAAGGAATGACCTTTACAGCCATGTGTGGATACATGAATCCTCAGAGAGATAAAGATCTCTGTGGCTAATCTTAAACAAAGCAAGTAACAACTCTCAGGAACAAAGGCAGAGCTCCCGTCAGTGTTGTAGACTTGTGTGGATTTGTGTTCCTTCAGTACCTTTGGGAGCACATAACGAGAAGGATCCTCCCGGTACAAAAAAAAACCCCGGCGCAACGAAAACAAATGGGAGCCGATTTTGGCTCCTCATCTGCTTTTTGGCATCACAGTTTAATCTTTTTTATTAATCCCAGCAAACAAAAAGAAACCCTCCCTGAAAATTACTATCAGATACCTTTCCTCTAGAGTAGAGAGTAGAAACTAGGGCTGGGAGGTTTCGTTCGTTAATTTCGTAATTCGTTATTAATTCGTTATTTTTTATAACGAAGCGATATTGAACCATTCAGAAGCAACTAAAAAACAAAATGAATTTTTCCAATTCGTTTCATAATTGTTTCATAATTGTTTCGAAATTGTTTCGAAAGCGTTTCGAAATCGTTTCATTATTATTTCCGCATGTCTGGTGCAAGTTTTAGGGTTGCTGTTTGTTTTATCAGTGAAAAAAATATATAATTATCACACCAACAGTCAACAACAGAGGGAGAGGGTTTTTTTAGCGTATTGTCCGAATGTGTCTCCCCTTACGAACCATCAAGGACTCTAAGATTATCTGGGGAGGTCCTGCTCTCGGTCTCGCCTTCGTCTCGAGTACATTTGGCAGGGATGAGAGACAGGGCCTTCTCAGTGGTGGCCCCTCAGCTATGGAACACCCTCCCTAGGGAGATTAGATCTGCTCCCTCCCTCTTAACGTTTTGGAGGCAAGTTAAACATGGCTGTTCGAGCAATTGTTTACAAATGTAGAGTAGCTATTAGCTAATATAGGAAATCGAATGCTATAGCTTTATAGACAAACACCTTGGTATCCCTACGAATGTCCCGGTCCTCAAACACTCTCTGCTTCATTTGGAAAAATGCTGCACTCGTAGAGTTCAGGAGATGTTGTATTTCGGTGTCTATTTTGACTTTGGTGGAGAGGTGGCTGCCAAGGTAGCCTCCATAATGGGCCAGATAAAAAATGAATCTTTTGGTACCCTAGAGTAAAAACAGGTATCTGCCCTCCTGAATTCGGGAGGCTCTCGGAAAATGGATCAGGACCCCCACTGAAATCCAGGATACCAAAACAGATCATGGTTTACCCTGAATGCACAAGTCTACAGTGTTGTGTAGCAGTTTGTGTATAGGAACAGGACCTGGAGACTACAGGTTCGAATCCCCACCTGACCATGGAAATTACCAAGTTGACTTTGGGCAAGAAGCATCCTCCTATTTTCAAAGGCACAAACCCCTGTTGGGAATGTATCTAATTTCTTCTCTGTTTCTGCTCTCATTTTAATTGGTTGTTTAAAATGGATATTTTTCCACTGCAAGCTTTTTGAATCTGACTTCTGCTTTCTTGCACAGTAGTATGTGCTGTGTGCTTTGAGATCTCTCTCTGCTTGTGTGTCAGGAGAGATGTCGTGATTGGTGTTTTTCCCTCTCTTAAGGGGAAAAGAGATGGGTGTTAGAGTAGCTCAGGTCCAATTCTTGATTATTAAGAAATGCAGTTATTTCCTTTTATTGTAAATAAACCTTTTGTGATTTTTTAAAGATTGGACTATGCATGTTTGCCTTGCAAGCTCTGAATTCTTTACAGCCACATCACACAACACTTCACACTTTGCTGGCTAATGAGCTGATGCTCAACTTTTGTATCGTGTTGGATTTTTGGATGCTCTACTAGTTTTAGGGTAGTTTTCCCTAACACAAATCATGCTAAGAAAACCCCCATGTTTAGTTTACCATAAGATGCCAATGATTTGAAGGCATGAAACAGTGCAGTGTCAACCTGTTTGCGCAGTTCTCATTGTTGCGGGAGAGGTGAGTCATGGTTGTAAAGTTTGGTTGGTTTTGCACTTTATAGCTCTTGGCAATCCATTTCAATTGATTTTACCTGTGAGCTGAGGGCATATAGCCAACTTTGGTGAATTGAATTACCAGCCAGGGATGGTCTGGATAGAATTAGTCATTTAGCCATCCAATTTTACTTTTTGACTGTAAGGTTCCATCCCCAATAAAGATGGAATGCCTCTCTTTTGTGATCCATTTGCTGATTCCGTTATCACAAAAATGGTTTTAAACACTATGTAACAAAATCTGGAAAAAAATCTTGTTCCTGATTTGAAATTGTTATTCCTGTTGAATTGTGTGGTACTTACTGTGAAAGTAGTTGCTATATCCAGAAGGTTTGTTTTTGTGGCTGCCACAATCTAGGTTGAATTGGTTGAGACTCAATGAGATATTCATTGAAAAACTCGCTGTACCCACCACGTGTTGCTGTGGCCAACCTTCCCTCCCTCATTCTCTCCTTGTTTTCCTTCCTCCCTTCCTTCCTTCCTTCCTTCCTTCCTTCCTTCCTTCCTTCCTTCCTTCCTTCCCTCCCTCTTTCCTTCCTTCCTTCCTTCCTTCCTTCCCCCTTTTCTTTCCATTCCCCTTCTCCTTTCTCTCCTTCCTTCCTTCTTCCTTCCTTCCTTCCTTCCTTCCTTCCTTCCTTCCTTCCTTCCTTCCTTCCTTCCTCTTCTTTCTCTCTGTCTTTCCTTTTCC